ACCGATCGACCGGCCTTCCCTTGACCATCAATCCCTCCTCTTCCAATGATATTCCGACAAATCACATCGTGATTCTCTAGTGATCTGAACTGCTTTGATGGAATGCCACCTTGTCTGTATTGTTCTTTCAGTGCCACCTAAAATCACGCCTTTCAGTTTTGCTCGCGATTTAAACGTAGGGGACCGTACTAGCGTACAGTGCGTAGTCGTGACCGGCGACCTACCACTGACATTCACGTGGCTCAAAGATAACGTCCCGATAGAGACGATCAGGACGTTGCCGTCGTCGCAGGATACGCCGTCGGGCAGCCGCGCTCGGTCGCCGGCCGGTCCTGGGATGGACGCGATGATTAACGGGGGCCCCAAGCTAAGGGGCCCTGCAACCATGACCGCCTCCGGCCCCTCCGGGCATGACGAAGCGTCCTCCTCGTCCCAGAGAAAGAGCATTACCATCGGGATACATGACGCTTTTACCAGCGCCCTGAGCATTAGCACGATCGCACCCGCGCACAATGGCACGTACACCTGTCGCGTGACCAATGGCGCTGCAACCGTCGCTCATTCTGCACTCCTTCACGTCAACGGTAAACGCACACCGTTGGTGTAATCGTACGGCCGTGTCTCGAAATCGGTACCTGACGCGGTTACCGACAATCTTCCTGATTTTCTCTTCGTCTTCCCTTTTTTTTGTTTTCTTTTTTTTATTCTCTCTCTTGGTCGCGCACGCAGCCTCTCTCCGCGCCAGGTACAGCATCGTATTTCGGGACACGGAGGACCCGATCGGCGCTCATCGGGATGCCAACGACGACGTCAGGAGACGCGAGCGGGGGAGGGACGGGGGGGAGGGGGCGCGGATGAATTCGCGCCACGTCTTGCGGAATAAGATCGCGTCGACGACGAAGAACGGATTATCATTGAGATTCGCGAGCCGAGGCGTCGGTCGTGATAGGACCGGACTGGCAATTTTCCAGTTCGTTGGCTGGCACGGCGGCGATGGAAAGTAACTGATTGATCGGCACGTAGGGAAACACCGGTGCCGCGTCGGCCATCGTTCGTGCCCATCCCGACGCTCCGCGCCGCGACGATCGATCAATCAGCGCGTCCGACTTCGCGCGATGCGTACCGTAATCAATTTTGTTTTACCTTGAGAAAGAGAGAGTGAGACAGAGGGAAAAAAGGTATCGGTAATACCGCCTGTAAATCGTTATCTACTTTCGAGACGCGATTCCGTAAAGAGGGGTTTTTTTTTCCACTCCCCGAGCTTTCGCACGGTCCGCGAAGAGAGTCGTTGTCGTCCGAAGACTATTTGAGCGTCGACTGCACTCCGGCTCGCCTCAGGATGGTCCTCGATCGCCGATCCTCCGGCGAAGATTTAGGATCATCCGACGCGGCCGTTTCTGCTACACGCTAATCCAAACTGCACGCGTATCGACACGCCGGATCGGCCCCCCCCTCCCCCCCGATATTCCCAAGGGTGATTTCTAGACTTGGACTCGGAAAAAGAGGAGGATGGGGAGGTGGTCTCATTCGCGCGAACTACAATGCCGCCGATCCGGCGTCTCGCCAGCTTTCTCTCAAATTACTTTCGATTTTGAATCGTTCTCTCTTCCTTTGATTCTTTCTCGTTCCTGCACGCGATTCTCTTTGCACGCCCATCTGCACGCTTTGATCGAGTTTTCCTGCAACCACTATCAATAACCTATGTGTATCGTACGTACTGTATACACTCTTGGCAATGTCTTTAGCTCCGTATTAGCCTAGTTATATAAGCGGCCCGGAGCTGCCCAACCTCACATCTCGTTCGCTTTCGTAACGGTCAAGTTCACGGAAAGAACGATTTTCCTGAAGTATCTAAAAACTTAAAAAGAATAATTTCACTGGAACATCGGAATTATTATATAGAACGCTTAAGAAAGTAAGATAGTTTTAAAAAAATATTAATTTTGTAAATTAATGATATTGAAATTCAATTAAAGCTTTATTTATTTATTATTTAATTAAAAATCTAATAAATTATTACCTAATATTACTGCAAAATTAATGTTTTATATTTTAGTAATCAATTTGAACATTCTATATAATATACGTTCCATATAATATAACGTTCTATATAATTATTATATTTTGATGAGCCAAGAAAATATCATTTTCAGATTTTGTCACGACCAAATTTTTAGATCCTTCGGCAAAATTGTTCTTTCCGTACAATAATAAAAGAATCGATAGTCATCAATCAGTATCAGTATATTTATTTATCAGATAAATGCAAAAGTTTGTTACACAAAAGTCGAAAGAGAATCGCATAAATATTTTCAAAGTTGGGCATCTATGGCATTTAGCTGCTTATAAGAACGTATCTATTGTCTACTTAGACACAACACACCGACTGTGACATCGAGAGGAGCTGCGAGCGAGTGCCCGCACGCAAGAACGAACATGAAGCACGAGAGATTTTCGATGGAAGTCGGAATCTCGATGTCGCAGCGCGACCGTAAAAGTTATCGTAAAGTTTTCGTACTGGTTTTCCTATTCGCACAGGTGTATGCATCGTCCAGCATTGGTATTCAAGAGACACGAGTAATGTTTTGACTGAGTATTACATTTGCCTATTTCTCCTAGTACTCCACACATACACACATACACGAAAATCTGTCTGTCAACGACATCTCCGCGATATCCCATAGGAGACGTATCTTCTTCTTTTTTTTTCTTCTTTTTTTTTCTACGAATGACATCATTACACACTCTGTTACTCATTACTGTGTTGTATGGTATCGTGATTTTGAGCGTTTTAATGACGAAGTCATCATTTTGTTAATGTAGCAGAAAGTTTTATGATAATGTGTTTTAAGCTCGAGGTATCATACGTACTTTGTGTAACGTCGTTTTCATATCATCGCTATATTGTTACGATATTATGGAGACTGTGTAGTGATATTTGTATCTCCGAGGAGCGCCCGACGCGAGAGATCTCTGAAGCATTCGGCGAAGAGACACCGAAGTTTTTCTGCATGAATTCTAATCTAAGTAAAAGAAAATCCCTAAAAATCGAATCATGGGGGCGAGTCGCATCGCTTTCGGCGCCACTCGTTCCCTTCCGGCGATCTCTTGCGCTTTCCTTAGTTCTTATTCCATATTTGAAACCTCGTCGATCGATAGGGCCTCCGGTAAGTAAGTCTGCGATACGCAACCGAGGAAGGGAAGTGAATTGCATCTTCGAAGGGAAAAACGTGTGCAGGTGTCTCGTGCCGGTCGAGCGGTCGTTATGGCGCATCTCGCCAGGCCAGGATCGCGGAAAAAGCACAAGCGCGACGCATATTCGCGCGGGAATCCATTTTTCGAGGGGGGGCAGGGAGAGGGAAGACGGCAGGTGCCCCGACCAAGAAGTTTTCACGCACCGCGCGCGACATTCGCACAGAGAAAACAGTTTGTTAACGTTCTCTCCTCTTCGTGCCATCCCTCTGCGCTGGGGATGAATGCGCGAATGGGGAGGGAGGGGGGAAGGGAGACCGAGACGCGCGCGGCCGGGCTTATTTCTAACTTCACCGGTCTCCTCATAAAGACACATCGGTCGACATTAACAGTTATGCTCGCTCGTAAATGTTCATTTTCCGAGCTACACCGAGGTACAACGCCGCGTTATATTCTCGGCGGGCGCGTTACGTACGTACGTAACGTAACGCGCCCCGATATTTATGGCCGTGCCACAATTTTCCGCGTGTGGTGCGCGCGCGA